TATCGAGATATGTATCGTACTGTGGCCTATGTATCGAGATATGTGTCATATCATGGTATATGTATCGAGATATGTATCGTACTGTGGCCTATGTATCAGGGTATGTATCATATCGTGGTCTATGTATCGAGATATGTATCGTATCCTGGCCTATGTATCGTATTGTGGCCTATGTATCGAGATATGTATCATATCATGGCCTACATATTGAGATATGTATTGTATTGTGGCCTATGTATCGAGGTATGTATCTTATCGTGGCCTATGTATCGAGATACGAATCGTACTGTGGCCTATGTATCGAGATATGTATCGTATCGTGGCCTATGTATCGAGATATGTATCGTATCGTGGCCTATGTATCGAGATGTGTATCGTATCGTGGTATATGTATCAAGATATGTATTGTATCATGGCCTATGTATCGAAGAATGTATCGCACTGGCAACTTCTTAATAATACCCAGCCCCAGTGGTTTTACATCAAGGAACCACTCTCCCCTTCATACACATACACACACACACACCAATGTATGCACTGCAGACACTGGGGGCGAGATGGGTTAAGTGTCTTGCCCAAGGACACAACAACAACATTCATCTGAGGGGACTGTTTGTGGAACACTGAATTGCACAGACGCACCTTTGTTTAAGCAACTTCCTATTAAATGCAGTTCTCCTGAAACCATCAATAGCTGGAAGTGGTAAAAAGGTTTGCATTGTTTTGAAGGCGAACTAACAAACACATCCGTACATACTTGAAAACGTCACACACCTATAACGTTTGAGCCTACTTGTGTACAGGAGTTATTCGAGCAGAGAGTGAGTCAGTATCACCTTACAAGAACAGGCATCTTAAAAAAAAAATGAAGATAAGAACTAATAAAAAAGTGATTGTATTTCTGTTAGAGGGGTTAGAACAGAAATGGGCAAACAACAACCCGGGGTCAATATGCGGCCCTTTAATCTTTTTAATCCGACCTACCAAACTTGAATAATAGTAATGACAATAATTTTGAGTGTTTTAAAAGTAATTTTGTATAAATAGTAAATATCGTGGGACTTGAACGACAGATATTTTGTTGTTTTGCTTTGTAATGATTTTCAATTATTAGATATTTCAATAACATTTTTTCTCTTATGAGGTGGATTACCAAAAAACTCCATCCATCTGCTCCTGGTCCGGCCCTTCCGTCCAATTTTAGAACCCTTTGTGGCCCACGAGTCAAAAAGTTTACCCACCCCAGGGTTAGAATATGGAACAATCTGAGTGATGAGTGAAAAAAATACTATGGAGTTTAAAGCATTATGTTTTGCTCTGGAATGAAAGAACTATGCATTGAATTTAGTTTGTTTTAATTTATACGTTGTCTGTTCTATATATAGTAAGTCTTAAGTGAATTATAAATGCAATCTTGTTGTTCATAAGCTGCTTTTCTTTCTTGGAATACTGTCATTGTTCAACAGGGTTAGGCGTTATAAGTAGTTTTTACTTCAGCCTAAACCAGGGGTGTCAAACTCATTTTGGTCCGGGGGCCGTATCCAATCTACTATGATCCCAGAGAAGCCGGATCACAAAACTCCTGGCATATAAACCCCCAAAACAGCAATAAGTTCAAATATTTGTGCAGAGAAATGCAAATCTATTACTATAATCCTTTTTAACTGATGAACTCTTTCTTTTACAAAATATTATAATATTATGAACAACCTGAAACTTTAAGAAAAATCATTGTGTTGAAATTGCATTTAACATTAACTTGTTTGCAAATAGAAATAAGTAAATTTTTCTTGGAAAATCCTGCTCGGCTCCACTTTTCTCATTTTGGACATTTTGTTGATGAGGGTGTCACGGTCAACAGTCAAAACGATCCTCCTTTAAGAGCGTTTGGAAAGAGACAAGTCTTTTGTGCTGCTCTGGTGGGAGGGGCCACGTACAGAGATGCTGGAGACGCTGCTATGCTAAGCACCGCAGAAAATTACCAATATTTTAGTAGAAAATATGATTCAAAAATTTTTTTTGAAAATCAGCTGAGGGCCAGATTAAAGATCTTGGAGAGCCGCATGTTTGACACCCCTGCCTAAACCCTTTCAGTCATGATCCATGGAGCTGTAGTCTATGTTTTGTTTTGTTTTGTTTTTGTAGTGCTGCAAAATGACTAGGGATGTAACAATAACCAAAATATCATGATATGGTATCATCAAAGTTCTCAGAATAACATCGTGGACCATCACAATATATCGAATTATAAGTGTCTTTGTTTAAATGAAGAGTTCGGGTGCAGCAATAGCTAACAAAAGACAGAACTATATAGCCCATGATCCTTTGCTCCATTTCAGTGCAGACTACAAGAAGAAATAACAGTTTTAAGCACTTTTAAGTCTTAATTCTTTGGATTAAGTCTTGTCAAGGCATTTTAAGAGGAAAAAGGAGCATATTAACAGTTTTGTTCACAGCCTCCACAAAATATCGCAATAAATATCGTACCGTGAGATGTGTATTGTGAAAATATTGTACAGAGAGATTTGGATATTGTTACATCCCTAATCTTGAGCCTCCCCACCATATTGTGAGCTTTCCCATGATATCGCAATAAATATCATGAAAGTGACAGAATAAACTACTAACCACTACTACAAAAAAGTGACCTGACTAACCCATGGGTAGGCCTATAACAAATTTTGAAGTACGATATATTGTTGAAGAAAATAAACAAGAATATTCAAACTAATGCACTCATGCAATAACCATTAAGCAGAATTATCCCCCAAAAAACAATTCCAAATGTAACATATGGTTAAAAAACAGAAACGGCAATAAATACACAGCAGAATAAAACACTTTAGTACTTATTTTGTAGCTATAATGACCATAGAAGTTATTAATTCAAACTTCGACAGATCAAATCTAATTGTAGAACAGAAAAATAACAAAAAATGTCCCACTAGTACAAATAAAATGTTCCCATGATAAATATTGACCCCCAAAAATGACGGCTTTCTCCCACTAGACCAAGTGCAGTGTATGTTTTGCTTGGTGACTGGCCCCGGCATCTTTCCACGGGTCAACACTTTGCTCCCCAGCCTCCACTCTGACAGTTTGACTTAGTATTTCTGCAATTTTGTGGGTTTTTATACATTTCAGGCATGCCTCAGCAAATACAGTTAAAAACATACTGTATTTGAAACATTTCTCTTGAACCAGTAAAACAGCGTCTGAATATTGTTACTGTGAAATATTGTGAAATATTCCTTTTTGTCAGACTTACAGTTGAGTTATAAATGCTTTGTTAATCACATTTTCCAGATTCATTTCAAAGGGTTAGAGGTCGACTTGGATGTTTTTAATAGAGGTCTACAGCCAATCATCTGCCAGTAAAAGCACGATGTATGAAGCAGACGCAAGACTTTGAATGAAAACTTGTGTTAAATGGCAATTATTAAAAGTCCGTTTCGCTTATGTCCAGTATGAATGAATTCAAAATGTGTTTTGAATAAAGACAAATGGAAATGGGGAAAGAAATAAAATAAGATGACTGAAACTGAAAAAATGCATAATTCTAACGTTCAGGCTGTTATTATCATTGATATAATTGGAGGAATTTGATGACTCTGCCATTGAAACAATAGGAGTGTGAAAAGAATACCGTGCTTACACAACATGAACTGTGTTGTGGTCTGAGGGAAATTTGATGCTGTGTGTAACAGTGTGTTTGGTGCATCAAATCAAAAACAGACTGAGCACATGTTTTAAAGCGCTTTAACAATTGCCAAATCAATATCTTCTGATTGAATTGTTTAAATGATGATTCAGTCATCCCAAACATTGAGTGCCATTATTGATTTGTAGAGATTTACATCAGCTTTGACCTCCTAACCTGACACTTAGTCACAGGCGAAGTCTAAATCAAGAAATACAGCTGCAGACAGTGTGAGCGCCGACCTCACTGTGTGAGCCGACCGCTCAGGGCTACGGAAATGTGTGTGAGTGTGTACTGACATGTTTACCATACAGGTGTGTATGTGCGTACACACACGCGCGCGCACGCACAGACACACACACCGAGTACACTCTCCTAACCCCTCAACATTTCCTGTACAACTACTGTCAAGCCCCAAGCTCTGCAGAACCCATGAGCTCTTGTGGTGCTCCACAGACGCTGCTGCACTAATCAGGAGTTGAGACAGATCAGACTGAGTAATAACTGTTGTTATTTCACACATATCGTAATATTAGTCACATGACTGGAAGAGCACTCCACTACAGAGGACAAGGAAGTGATACTGAAGCCTGTTGTACAGTAGGATGCACTTGTGAGTGGAGTCACTCCATTTTATTCAAAGGTCCGTGTCTAGACACCCTCGCACCCACTGGTGCTCAGCAGCCTCCCACAGACACACATCAACACCCACCCACGCATGCAAACCCACCATTTTACAATTCGAATCATTAGTGTGTGAGGCTGAGAAACATAGTCCTGGTGAGTCTGTCTGAAGTAGCATGTCTCGTGGCTAACAGCAGACAGCTCACCTTTCAGCAGACTCTTCTACTCTTACACTGCTCAGCACACAGCCTCTCCAGCCTCTCTCTCCAGCCTCTCTCTCCAGCCTCTCTCTCCAGCCTCTCTCTCCAGCCTCTCTCTCCAGCCTCTCTCTCCAGCCTCTCTCTCCAGCCTCTCTCTCCAGCCTCTCTCTCCAGCCTCTCTCTTCAGCCTCTCTCTCCAGCCCAGTGGCACTGTGGCACTACATTTAGCAGCTCTGCCAAGCACCTGCTTTAGCTTCAACAGCAACACACTGAGCAGAGAGCCAGCAAAGAGCCAGCAAAGAGCCAGCAAAGAGCCAGCAAAGAGCCAGCAAAGAGCCAGCAAAGAGCCAGCAAAGAGCCAGCAAAGAGCCAAGAGAGCCAACAGGTCACAGTGAGAGAGTGTGCACTGGTGCATTGGACAAGCACACACTTGCACTCAGACACATAGAGTGGAGGGATTTGTGAATGAGCCTTACCTTGGCACTGGAATCCCTGCTTCCCGAAGCCCCTGTGAACACAGAGCACACTGTTACTTTGAGGAATTCAGCAGAAAAACACAGGCCACAGGCACACGCAGAGAAGCACGATGTCCAGCTGATCGTCCACATAAACACACTCAGATTAGACAGCTGCAGCAGCGCGGGGGCCAGAGCCGTCTCCAGCGGCATTCCTCCACCAGTGTCAGCAGCCTCTGCTTGATGCGGTAAACGCCAGCATCAGCCCGCTCTGTGCCCGCTCTGTGCCCGCTCTGTGCCCGCTCTGTGCCCGCTCTGTGCCCGCTCTGTCTGCTCTGGGCAGGAGCAGCACGCACACAGGCCCCCGCGGTGCTGTCGCAATATGAAAAACAAGAATGGCGTGTTGCAGTGTTTTTGCGGGGACATTGAATGAAAGACTGCGGTATGAGAGAGAGCAGTGTGAGGGGAAGGAGGCCGAGCAGAGCCACAGCAGCAGCAGCAGCAGCAGCAAGTGATTCACCTGTGCCCCGCACTCACCAGATGAAGTCCGTGCAGTGGCTGCAGAACGTGGGCTGCTTGAAGAAGCGCGCGATGAACTTGTGGTTCTTGACCTCGTGGACGTTCTTCTGACGGAGGGCTCCCTGACGGGCGAACCCGCGCGCGCTCTCCGGTACCTCTCCGTCGCTGTTGGGGTCAGCCATCTTAACGAGGAAGCGTTTGGGACCAAAAACGGGGAAGCGTAAGTCCGGGGGAGCGGGAGCGTGGGAGAGCCGTTCGGTCCCTCCTCCCTCCTGTCCGCCGCTGTCCGCCGCTGGCGCCGCGCGTCACCGCCTGTTGGAGCTCGTGCTCAGCGGGTTTTGTCGCGGTGCGTCCAGCTCGCGCCGCTGCGCTCGTGCTGCTTCCTGCGGGGCGCGCCCCGCCTGCTTCCTTTTTCACCAATGGGTGCTGCTTTTTCACATGATGAGAGGCAGAGGGGGAGCGAAAGCGCACACACGGACAGTGAGGGGCTCTGTCCCTCTCCCGCTCATGCAGGTTCTGATGACAGGTCCACGGGCTCACGGAAAGACGCGAGAGAGAGCCGTAAGAGCCGTAAGAGCCGCGCCTGTACCACCTCCCGCTGCGGGCCGTTATTTTCACTCTGTCACTTGTGTGGCTCATTAAGAGCTGGAGTGGCACAAATGTGATTCACGAATCCACAGTCAAACATTCCAGTGTGGCCACCTGAAAACACAGAACGATGCAAACTCAAGAATGCTGACGTTATCGGCCAAAAGAAAAAAAAAAAAAAAGTGTAAGTGAAGTTATGAGGCCGCAGTGGTGTGCAGGTCACAGGTGCTCATGCAGCTCAGAGTCAACAGACCAGGACATACAAGGTCAAGATCAGTCTCACCAAGAGTGAAAAGAGCATAAACCCCCAAAAGCAAACATCAGTAAACAACACTAGCACTGAACTGACACTACAGGCTATAAGACACATGCGATAAAACATGTAGAGGTTGTGGCTTTTCTAAAATGAAGTTGTGCCTGCATTTTGAAGGCCTAAACCCAGTAACAACATATTATACAATGGCAGAAGACTGTGGATGTAGGTTTAGGCCTGAAGACAGTGTGACACTCTGCAGAGGCACAGTGTCGACCATATGTTTATGACATTTCAAATGCTGCTGTCTCCCAGGGCTGTGGACATACATGTTCTCAGATCACTGGTTTCCAAACACTATGTGACATGAGGGCGAGTGGGATGCAGTCTGTGTCTCATTAGTCTAAAGCTCATTTCAAATGGAATACATGCAGAAGAGGAATGATTGCACTTTTTCCATCACTTTAGAATTTTTCACTAGCATTGTATGAATATAAGTCTGTGTTTATCAAGCACCTATCATAAACCCCAAATACTTGAGTGTGTTATGCAAAGACGTAAAATATTCATTGATTTTTAAATATATTGCACCTCAAACCATATTACCGAAAAATAGCACAAATCTCCCCACTCTTTTTTTTTATAACTTTATTTATTCACATTTTCAGTTTAGAACAAACACTCCCAAACAACAACAGTAAAAAGAAAACTAAATAATAAAAAATAGTAATAATAATATATATACATGCACATACATATATACACATACGCATACATTAAATGAACAAAATTTAAATTCACATTCTATATGACAAAAATAAATATGAATATACATATAAGATAAAATAAAGCATAACATTAAAAATAAAATAAATACAAAATATGATAAATAAACAAAGACAAAGAAGTAAAACACACAAACACACAATGGGGCACACTTATACAAAAAAACATAGAGTATAAATGTCCACAACTACATCGTATGACAACATTGTCACCTTCTTCTTGAGGGATCCACTACAAATTCAGATGCTCTAGAATGGGTCTCCATACCTTCTGAAATGTTTGAGGGTTGCCTGACACCTCATACCTCAGTCTTTCAATATGCAGCACTCCCATCACTTCTCTAAGACAGGCTTCAAACTGGGGCGGAGAATCTGATTTCCAGAGTTTCAAAATACATCGTTTATCTGTCAGCATGCTGTAAGAAGTGTTGGGAAGGTGACTTTTAAAATGTATTCCCCTACAGATTACAGATTACAGATTACATATCCCAAAATGTAGTTTGTAATGGAATCCATTAAATTACTTAAAGTGAGTAACGTAATCTGAATACTTTGGATCACTTGATTTGCTGTAGAGAAGCAAAGACGAGGATATTGTAACATATTTAAGATATTTTGTCTGATAAAACACAATAAAAAGGCAGAGTCTTTACTTAACCAAATTAAAAATATTATTGATAGAAGGAGGAGACACGTCTGCGCAGCATGATTTAGTCCTGTTAAATCCTGTTTTAGACCTGGTTTAGTCCTGGTTTAGACCTGGTTTAGTCCTGGTTTAGTCTTGGTTTAGACCTGGTTTAGTCCTGGTTCAGTCTTGGTTTAGACCTGGTTTAGTCCTGGTTTAGTCTTGGTTTAGACCTGGTTTTAGTCCTGGTTTATACCTGGTTTGGTCCTGGTTTAGACCTGGTTTAGTCCTGGTTTAGACCTGGTTTAGTCCTGGTTTAGTCCTGGTTTAGACCTGGTTTAGTCCTGATTTAGACTTGGTTTAGTTCTGGTTTAGTCCCGGTTTAGTCCTGGTTTAGTTCTGGTTAAGTCCTGGTTTAGTCCTGGTTTAGACTTGGTTTAGTCCTGGTTTAGTGTCTGGCAATGAGTAAGATGTTTTGTCTGATAAAAGAAAATAAAAAGGCAGAGTCTTTACTTAACCAAATTAAAAATATTATTGATGGAAGAGGAGGAGACATGGTCCACGCAGCATGATTTAGTCCTGTTAAATCCTGTTTTAGTCCTGGTTTAGTCCTGGTTTGACCTATTTTAGACCTGGGTTTAGACCCAGTTTAGTGTCCGGCAATGAGTGGAATTACAGAGAAAAACAAAACAAAACAAAAAAGGGATATAGCCCCAAATGTGAAAACAGGAAAATACCGCCGTGTAATCCATTTATTTCAACAAAATAACTGTAATCCAATTACCACTCATTGAAACAGTAACTGTAACTGAATACAGTTGCTCATCATTTGTACTCTGATTATGTAACTCTGGTACATGTAATCTGTTACTCCCCAACACTGGCCGTAAGTTACTATTATGGTGACTTCATGACACATACTTTCCAAGGTGGCAGAGAACCCCAAAAGAGCCGTTTCAGGATCAGGGTCTATAGTTACCTTGAGTGCACGGGAGAACCATTTAAATATTGAGCTCCAGAAATCTTGGAATTTTGGGCGTTGCCAGATTTGTTGTGCAAGTGTACTATTAATTGTCTTGCACCTATCCCAGAGAGGTGATGTTTGAGGAAAACATTAAAATCTCCCCACTCTTGAAAAGTGTTAGGTTTATCTAAACATTATAAACAAGAAGAAAGACAAGAGATTAATTCAGTTTTACTCGCGAGGAGAACGGGCAGAGAGTGGGCATCAAAACCAACAGTCTCCACACGTTCTGATGACTCAAGGCCGTTCTCCTCTTTTTATTTCATTAGGAGGCCCTAGTTACAGAATGATAATTATCAAGGGGAAGGGGAAACAGCAAAGACATAATAAGAAACTGATGCAGCTAAGCATAGTCCAAACACATAAAACATGATTAACAATCAGGAGGTGCCTTAGGTCAGACACCATCATAACTCTTGCATGTGTGACAGTGGAAGTTGGCTTCATGTGAGGAATCATCTCGAGGTTCACTAGAGCGATAGTGATTGGTACATTATAAATCAAAGAATTGTAGTACATAAATGGTTAACTCATAGACATAGAATATCACACAAGTATTTAGCAAATATTGGATAATAAAATTATTCTGACAAAAAGTAAATAAATACTGAGCCCAAAAATATCATGTTCCTGCTTTCATATATTAATAACAATAAGTCGATGTATTAATTATCATGACAAGATGGCTGTAGACAAAACTTAGACATAAATGGACGTCGGTGACCTGCTAGGCGCCGCACTCCAAGTAGGAAGTGTGCATGGGCGTGTTTCTGGCTTCTTCGAATCCAATTCACTTTGTATTGAGAAAAACATCACCCCTCGCTCTGTAACTGTCATCAGGCTCGTCATTTGGTCTTAAAATGTTTGTAGGAAGTGTGCATGGGCGTGCTTCGGGCTCCATCGACTCCAATTCACATTGTATTGAAAAAAATGTCAAACCTCGCGTCGTAACTGTTGTTGTCAGGCTCGTCATTTTGGCCTTAAAATGTTCATATTAAGCCTTCTACACCAGTGTTTCCCAAACTTTTTTTCTGCTTACCCATATTTGAAAAATCACAAAGCTTCACGACCCAAGTCAATAGACATTATTCGTAAATCACAAACTAAAGGTGGATTTGAGCATTACTGAACATTAATGAGGATATTTTATTGTTGATTGAGTGATCGTGTCTCTGAACAATTAATATTACTCAAGTTTGAAACAATGAAAAACAGACATTGAAGCAACAATAAAAACAATCCATAAATCGAATATGTGGACATTAAATGTAGAATATTTCTTTTTCTTTTCAACATTCAAGTGAACCAACAACATTGGAACAAAATAGTCAATAAAATAATTACAATACAAAACATGCCTTAACATTTCAACATTTCTAATCAGATAGGTGGGCCTGTCTGTGTTTTTGTAGAGCAGGGGTGTCAAACGTATGGCCCTGGGGCTGGATCCGGCCCTCCAAGACCTTTAATCTGGCCCTCGGCTGAATATCTACAAAAATATTTTAATTATATTTTCTATTAAAATATTGGTAATTTTCTGCAGTGCTAAGCATAGCAACGTCTCCAGCGCCTCTGTACTTGGCCCCTCCCACCAGCACAAATGAAGACTCGTCTCTTTCCAAACTCTCTTAAAGGACGATCGTTTTGACTGTTGACCGTGACACCCTCATCAGCAAAATGTCCAAAATGAGAAAACTGAATGCTGAGTGCAGGATTTTCCAAGAAAAATTGACTTAAAAATTCCTGTTTGCATACAAGTTCATGTTAAAACATTGTGTTGAAATTGTATTTTTGGTCATGATATTATAATATTTTCTAAAAGAAAGACTTCCTCAATTAAAAAAAGATTTCTGTAATTGATTTGCGTTTCTCTACATAAATATTTGAACTTATTGCTATTTTTGGGGTATATATGACATTTTATTTTTATTTTTTCCGGCCCCTTTGGGATCAAAATAGGTTGGATACGGCCCCTGGACCAAAATGAGTTTGACACCGCTGTTGTAGAGTGTAGGAGGAGAGTGCAACACGCATATCAGGTGAACCCAAAAAAATCTCTTGTGACCCACCTAAGAGCTGCGACCCAGTCTTTGAGAAATAATGCTCTACATCAGGGCTCTCCAAC